ACACCCTCAAACTAGCTGATTTGTTGATTTACTAACATTACGAACTAAAACTAACGTTCTCAATAGCATAAACTTAAGACTTACATTAATCAGGCCAATAACTATGCCTAAATAAAAATAATCATGAGAATCACTATAAATTGTATGTCAATGTAATGATGTTATTAAACACATCTCTCCAATCATGTTTTTCTCTATAGGGTTCTAGAGTTTTTTCCTTCTCGATTTCTTGGGGTTTTATCGCGAAATTGCGTAACTTTCTTTATGTGTTCTGTTTTGTCCAATCGATGCTATTCGATTTGCATTTTGTTCAGATGGAGAACTTCGCTAGTAGGTGTATATTTGTGGCGGCCAATGAGGAGGGTTTACGTCTGGTGGGGTGGGGGTGACTCGCTGTCGACTACCAGAACTCAACAAGAGGTCTGGGAGCTTGCAAAGATGTTGCTAACTGATCGGTCGATTAAGTTCAACATCATGTGCAATGTTTTGGCCTCAGTTTAGCGTCCGTTGTTGAGGGTTAGGGTTTCTGAGGTTCATGCCAACTTGTTTCTTTTTCAATTTTTTTCAATGAGGGTGACACACACTGAGTTTCTGGATAAGGGTCCTTATTCCTTAAAGAGTCGTTTTCTAGTGTGTAAGCTACTGGAGCCATGGGAGGGGTCGGGTAGTGTGGATCTGAATATACTAAACTACTGGGTGCATGTGTCTAACTTGTCGCATGGCTATACTATGGAGTCGATGCTTGACTAGATTGAGAATTTTCTAGGATGTTTGTTTGCTTCAACAAGTCTGGCATGAGAAGTATTAAGAAGAGTTTATATCATATTAGGGTAGGGATGGATGTCACGAAACCTCTCAAAAGGCAGATGAAGTTATTTCTAAGGAACGACTTGTGGATGTGGGTGAACTTTAAGTATGAATGCTGGTTGCATAACTTTTGTTTATTCTCTGGAATTTTGGGCCACACAGATGGGTTTTACATGGGGCTAGGCGTGCTAACGCGAGGCCATATGAGTATATGTTTGGGGCGTGGATGAGGGTTGGCTTGGGGAGGGGATCGCACGCGATTGGGGTGCTTTGGCTAGTGGACAATCCACCGTCAAGGTTTTAGGCGCGGTTTAGGGATGATAGCTGGGCCAAATGATACTCGCTGGAGTGCACTAAGGTGAGTACTTTAGTACCTGAGAGGTATCATATACTGGGGACTAGACAATGTAGGGTTCCCAGCAGTCATAGAAGGGTTTTTTTTTTTTTTTTTTTTTAAATGCTAAATGGGTGAATAACATCGAGAATGTCAATTCAACAAGTGGATATGTGTTCATCATGTGTGGGGCAGCTGTATCGTGGAATTTAATGAAACAGTCATGCATTGCTAGATCGACTATGGAAGTAGAGTTCATAGCGCTTGAGAGGTTGAGTGGCTAAGAAATTTATTGGCAGACGTGCCATTGTGGGGGGTGTCCAACACATGCCGTACCCATACATTGTGATTCCATCTGCCATTTGTGTGGCAAAGAATAGTGTCTACAATGGGAAAAGAAGACACATAAGAGTTAGACATCATAATACTGAACAGGTCATCACAATAGAACTTGTGAGATCTGAGAGGGTATAGCAGATCTTCTCACAAAAGGCTTAAATCGAAAGGCCATCCTTGAAACGTCAAGGGAGATGGGCTTAAAGCCAATGAGGTAACGAATTCATGATGGATACCACCTTTGGTGGTTAAACAAAATCATGGAAAGACTTACACCAAAAGTTATGGAAATAAGCGACTATAACATACTCTGTTGCCTGAAGGTGGTCTATACTGAGATGGACTTGGCAGAGTTAAAAGTCTATATAGAGTTAGACTTAACAGGGACTCGTTGTCAGTCAAAGTGTTTGACTGAGTACAACTTTGTTAGAGTTGACTTGAACACTTGAGTTCAAAGTTTTACTAAACTGAGAGTTCAAAGGTACATCCTACTTTCATAAAGTAAACCACTCAGTGGTATCACATGTCAGTTCAAGACACTGTCACTGACTTGAAGACCAACTCTTGGAGTCTCGCTCAGACGACATTATTTGTTTCTACCTTACCTCTTTGAATGTGTGGGGGATTGTTGGAAACATTCAAAGGGAAAACACTGCTCATCACAGTCTCCCTATTTTTTCTCTCCTTTTTGTGTCTGGTAAGGGAGGGGTTGTTATATTCAATAGTATATAAACAGCACCTCACTAAGTCATTAAACACACCTTGAACATTCTCTCTTCTCTGCACCTTAATCCCTCTGTCTGAGCAATTACGTTCTGCATTTGCAAGTCGAAAGCACACGATACCCTGGTTGTGAAATGCTTTTAATGCAGTGTTACTTATAACACGTCGCAAGAACATCTCTCCTCTTTTTCTTTAATTCATCCAGCCTAAATTAACAATACTCGTATTCTATTGGTACGTGTACGACATTATTGTCTCATAGAGTTCATTTGCCAAAAAAAAAAAAAAAAAACTAAAAGAGCTTGAAGAGTTTTGTAAAAATTCCGATATAAGATAGCGTCTTGTAATTTTTAGAACAAGAAACCATAAGCGGAAGTAATATTAGCATAGAAAAAATCATCTTTAATCCTTCAAGCAATAAAGAAGGCATATATGCAAATGGAACAATCACTATACTCTTTGAGTAATATGCAATATTCCTTGAACAACTTAACCAAAATTCTTTTGTTGGGAATCCATTGTTTTTCTCCTTATCCCAACTTCATCATCATCATCAAATATCTCCTTTCGGCACTCAACAACACTAAAATATTCACTTCCAATTAATTACATGTCCACTTTATGTAAAATGATTATTCATCTTCATTTTTATATTTCAAATGTTTACTTCAAATGGCAGTAACAATGAATGTCATAAGTAGTTCGCACGGGCTTAGTTTGATAATTCAATAAGTAGTATTTGAGAAAAGATATCAAAGTTCGAAACTCAACAGTGACAGACTGATAGTATAGGGATTATGTCCAAAATAAGCAGATCTTTTGTGTGCACCAGCATTTGGTCCTGTTTGTTTAATCACTAAGTTACCGTGGTTTACATCTTTCTACATGCTCTATCAAATCGGAACTTGAGGAGCCCTTGGGGTTGAGGATTCTCCACGAAATGATTGTATTAAGTCTACATTTGTATGCATTATGTCACATCATATATGTCTATATATGCATAGTCTATCATAATTGGACTTTGGCATCTAATGCTCTAAGATAAAAGGTTTAAAAAAAATGCTCTAAGATAAAATATATGAAAAGAGAAAAGTGACTTTAGAATTGGAATCCAAAGGGGGACAGACTTTAGATATATGGAGAAATTGAATGGAGAGCAATTCATCACAGATTTGGGAGTCTAACATACATCATTCATGCTCAGTGATTTGTGGAAATGGACATAGGGTGGCTCTTTTCCCAAAAAGCTGTTGGGCCCTACATTCACTAAATTATAATAAATAATCACAAAAATACAAATAAAGTTGTCATATATCGACTCACATGCACAACATTAGAGATTCCTTTATTTCTCAATATGATTCTGTAAATCTCAAATATACTAAGATTCTATTTAGAAAGCAACAAAATGACATCTGGAAAATATTTTCTGAAAAATAAATAAAATTATATAATTAAATATTTTAACAAAAGTTATTTTTCGTCAAAATAGTTTCATTTCCCCCAATCAACGAAAAATGCTTTTCGTTGATTGGATTTTCTTATTGCATCTAAACACTGAAAATTTCAAAAATTTTCCAAAATTATTTTTCTGCTTTCCAAAAAGACTCTAATATTACACATATTTTCATTTTCTACTTTACTTTTTACCCTCAGCTTAGATGTCATATTTTGATTTATTTAGAAAAATTAATGAATCATAATTTTTATTATTTTCTTTCTCTTCTATAAATCAAATTATGACAGATAAGACAAAAATTTTACTCTATGAGAATATATGGCAAAAATTTTACTCTACGATAATATATGTATCATTTTCCTTTTTGAAATCCCCTTTTTAACCCATTCACAGAATCACATTCTTGGGTGGCCATATTGTCAGCTTGTACACTGTGGGTCTGTGTACACACACTGACATACACACACTATATGTATATAGGGTATGATTATATACACTCACACACACTATATGTATAGAGGGTATGATTATATACACTTTTTGTAGAAATTTGATTATAGATACTCTCAAATTATACTTCTGTAACAAATAATGATAGATTATATTTTTATCATGTGGTTTTATAGGAAAGTATCTACATTAAAAATTTGTGAAAGAGAGTAAAAGTTAAGACTATAAAATAAGTGGTCATCAAGTATTTTCCTTTTTCTAGTGACGAGGAAAATTCACAGTTACTACTTGAGGGTGTACAATGGGTGAATCATGTCTCGTGACCTTAACTAACAAATGACTACAATGAAGTATACCACTTTAGGTTGTCTATAATTGACCGACTCAAATCAAGAAAATCAATAAACCGCTGTTATTGAGAGTCAAATTTGTAAATTGCAACCTTCTGCTTACCAAATCAAATGTATAACTATTTTATTTTTGTGTGCAGTTTATATGCTATTACACATAAGCAAGATTTATCCCGTGTATATTCTTGAATAGTAGTTGTAACTATGACACCATTAACAGAATTAAATAAATCTATATAAAAATCCAATATTGATTCTTGAATCTTTGTGAAACAAGACTTGAGCTTAAGACTTTTACATTTGAGTAGAGAGTAGAGACACATTATATTAATTAAACACCGGATTCTAGATGCTAACTCTAACATGAATTTTAACTTAATGGGAATTGAATAAAATTAGGGCTATCCTTTCATTGTTGTTACCAAAAGGTTGAATTTCCAACTCAAGTGTCCACGTCCCGACGCGACAGAGCATCTGGAATGATGTAAATCATAGTAACTCAACTGAACACAGATGTTAGACCAGAACTATCATTTCATGGTTACATAGAAAGGAACTATATATACTCCAAAATAGTTCACTAAAAAACAGAAAAATACAAGGAAAAATGATCAAGGGCAGCATATTTAGCCAATTATGAAACTTGACCACATTTCCCCATTCACTTACAAGGAGAACTCTCAAAAAGGCCAAAGCTTCTGACTATATAACAGTTCACATTTACTACTAATCAACTCAATCCTAAGAACCAAAAAAAAAAAAAAAAAAAAAGTATAAAAAAGAGGTATACAAGAGGATAGAGAGCAGGCACTACTGCACTAGCTAGACTACACTTAAATATTGAATGATACACAGTTAGGAGGGATTTGTAAGAGCTTCATTGGCAATTAGGGTTTCTCCCGGGGCCTCCGTAGTAGAAGAAATGGCCCCAATCTCCATTGTTGCCTGTCTGGACATCATAGCAGTTGGATTGGTCAGTGAAGGTGCCTAGACCTTTGGGGGACTTAAGGTTGTTGGAGCTGTCGACAACTTGGATGTTCCTAAAATAGCTCGCCTTGCCAAACCCTTCTTCCGGGAAATGACCGCTGCCCATTTGGGTGGAGGTGTGCTGCCCGTCGGGCCTCGAGTTCACCACCTCCCCGCCCCATTCAATCATCGATGCACTCTCCCCCAAGTACGAGAACAAGAACGACGGCCAGTAGCCCAAAACATAGTCATTCCCGAACTGCATCCACCAATTTCCCTGTTTTGGATCCTAGAAAAGATAGAAAACGAAACGTAACTTTAGTCATCTAGTGTTCTCACTATACATTCTTCCAAAAGGCTGAACCCCAACCCTAAGGGCCCCCCACACCCCGACCTGACAGAGCATTTGGGAGGATGTAAATCATGGTAACTCAACTGAACATGAACCACAGAAGCTAGACCTTTTGTTCTCACTATACATGTTAGGCCCTTAGGCGGTGGAAAGTAAGGCCCTTCGAGGTTTTCAGACACCAGAATGTGAAGTTATGCGGCTGCAATGATACTTTTCCTAAAGAGATAATGCAACTTTACCAAATACCCGATCGTTCCTTTTTAATTTGGTAGCAAAAAGAAAATATATTCATGATTAGAGTAATAATGGATATTGGTACGCTTTTCAGTTTTTTCAATTATATATTCACCTATTCAACAATTATTCAAGACTTACAATGATGGTCTGGCTGAATTATAGCCGTGCCCACCACTCGAAAAAAGGCAGACTTTGGTGAATTTGGAACGAACGTACCTTCCATATAAGAATATTGATATCGTACTGGGAGTTTCTGAAAGCTGAGACCGGGGAAATGCTAGCACCCATTGCTATTTCGCTGTTGATCTGAATGAACCCCGAACAAAGTAGGTTGTAGCAACCCGTGGCCTGATATGCATCGCTCTGCCGAAAATTCGGGAAACGTTAGCACGTTCGCAATAAGATTCCTTCCCGGGATTAAGGAATAGTCATCGGTAAATTTGTAAACTTACAGTCCAGTAAGTGAACAGTCTCGTGTTATTGTCACCGTAAAGGTCTGGGCTAACCTGAGGCCACGAAAATCCTCACGTTAGACTAAACAGTTACACAAAAGTTGTTAAATTTGGTTCAAATTACACTTTTTATCGTTATTTGCCCGAGGGATGGATAATACCTGCCACCCAGCTTCAATGCTGTTAAGGTCCTCGCCAAACGAACCACCTAGTATCCAGAGCTGCGACAAGCTGAACTCGTTAGGTTGCTGAATCTTGGGTTCCCAAACATTAATTGTAGCCTTCGCCCCGTAATACTTGTCGCCCTCGACATATGCTATCGCGTGCTGGTAACCCGCAAAACCAGTAAGAACAATGGAATAACGAACAAATTGAGCAAAAATCGTAAGGCATGGCAATAGTTACCTGATGACCACTTTCATTCACGAGGTCGGGATCTGTACCTCGGGGCTTAGCTAAGCTCGTGTGCTTCTTCTTCCCGTACCTCTTCACCGAGCTCGCCCTTAACACGTCATCTTCCTTTGTCCTCCTTACAGGGATAGTATCCTCGGGGCACCTCCCGTTCATATGCCACAACTGAGTGATCGGGTTTGTTCTTTCTTTAGGCCCCGTCGACTCCTCGTTTACATCATACAGACCCTCCGGGTGGTAGCTTGGCCTCATCTGCACAATTTGATCAACAAAACCCGCAAACAAAGTGTCAGGACTCGGGAAACAACCAAAATCATAGTAACGAAAACGACCAAAGAATCGAAGATACCTGGATTTCATGGTCTTTGAGAAACGGGTGATCGAAAGCTCTCTGTTTGGAGATGTGTACACAATCAATGATATCTCCATCTGGGCTCTGTTTGGTGTAAAATCATTATAGCAAAATAAGTACACAATATAACTTTAAATCATTTTCTTGGAACAGAAAAAACCATTATACATCCCTAACTTTAATCATTTTCATACCTGAAGAAATCATTCCCAAAACCACAGTAAATAGGGTTCCAAAATAAATTAAAGCAAAAGGAACATGGGGAATCAGTACAGAACATCATTAATGCCTGCTACATTAGTAGTTGAATCTCACTACAATATCCATACCAAGAAGGCAAGAACAGCTACACCAATGACAGATTCCTAGTACTTAAAAATCAGTTGAATAAAAAGAAAGAAAAAAGATTCCCATGACTTCATTAAAACAAATGAACAGATACTCAAATAGTCAGATACCTAACCTGCAGACTCTAAATATTCTTGGTTAAAACTTAAAACCCAAAGAAAATGGACTTTTAAGAAACACCAAATTTTTGAAAAAGGCAAACAAATTCAACTTTAAGCTACATGATTCAAGAAAATATTGTCTGTAAAAAAAAAAAAAAAAAAAAAAAAAAAATCAAACATTTTTTCAACAGCCCAGAATGGACTTAAAAAAAACTCAGAGTTTAACTGATTCAAGAAATGATTTTTCCTGTTCAAAATACAAAACCGCCCATTAACCCAAGAAATTAAAATGTAAGAGAAATTCCCATAAAAGGGTTTTACAGTTTTACCTCAATGGTTTTGACGGCATCTTTGTTAAGCCTTTTCAAGTGCTTCTTAAGCTCGGCATGCTTCCTAGAGGCCGTTAGCCTGGCGGCGCAAGATAGCGAGATTAGGCCGCCATAGAAGCAGAGCAAGAACAGAGCTACTCCGAGCATCCTCCTCTTCGTCCCCCACTGTCCACCGCTAAAATGCGCCATCCTCCCGGAAACCCTCCACCAGCTAGACTAAGCCGAACCCAATTTCAGACACGAGCTGAAACGGCAATAGCTACACCAATGTGCAGCAGCTCTCCAAGCCCGGACCAAGAACTCAGCAACCTGCTTATCCTACGCACCTCCCTGCTTATCCTGCGCACCACCTCAACTAAGAAATCCAAAGTGTTGTTCGGGGAGAGTGAGAGTGTGAAGAAGAGATGAGGATGAAAAGGTCTCTCTCTCTCTCTCTCTCTGTCTCTCTCTCTTTTTCTGCAATTGTGCTCCTTCGTAAAATCCAATTGAAATGCAGAGGTGTGCTCATGTGCCAGTCCTTTTTAATCTTTTTATAATCAGACAAGTTTATTGTTTTTTGGGAAATAACATTTTCCTCCCTCAATTATTTTCTAACTATCAATGTAGTTCTTAATTTTCAATTTTAACTAATTTGATCCTTAAATCATTTTAGTGATCAAATTGACAAAAATTTTAAAAATATAAAAATTACCATTTAGATCCCTGAAAGTGTTTAATTGATAAAATTTTAAATAATTCAATGATGTCAAACACCTCGTGCTCAGATGACATGTAGTACTCTCCTATATTGACAATTAGGAAATAATTGAGGGACTAAAATATTGATTAACTCTTTTTTCTTTTCACATTTGTATTTCAGAATCTTTCATCGGTTGGTATACCATGGACCAGCCATTCAAGATAAACCCTGGTCCTAAATTGCGTATTTTTAGTATTTGTGAACATCTATAATATAATTTGTGTTTCTAAATTTTTGGAATTTGTGAATACAATACGGGTTATTACAAATTGTTAATTTTTAAAAGGTAAATTGTGTAACTTGGAGGGTGTGGTTGAGTGGAATGGACTCATCCATCATTAACTAAAGGTCAAGGGTTTGATCATTGACTTTGGGAATGGAGCAATCTTAAATCTCTAGGCCGTCATTGTGTTCGACAGTGAAAACTCTGGTTATACCCCAAAAAAAAAAATAAATAAATAAATAAATTGTGTATTTTTAGACCCAGATCCATATAATAATTGTCATCTTTTATCTACACCCCTTATTATTTCCTAAATCATACATTGGGTCCCATAAACCTTCACTGTGCCACCCATGACCTATCCCTGTTCAATATGGTCCCCCCATAAATTATATATGAATGCTTATTTTGGTGGGTACTATCTAAGTATATAGTATCACAAATGTGGAATGGAATAAAGCTTTAGAAGAAATTAATATTATTAAATCATGGTTAAGTTGTTATTTTAATTAAGTCATCATGCATTAGAATTACTGCCACTGCTAATTAGCCAAGAAAAATAAAACTCAATGAAATATTAATTATTGAAAGGTTATTATTTTGATAAAATGACAACAATTAAATTTTCTAACGATGCTATTAATTTTATAGTCCAATTAGTTTTTTTTAGGAAACCTACAATTATTATTATAGAGTGTGAATTATGTAAACACCGTTCATTTGTAATAATATGCAAATCACACATGAGAAATATATTGCACTGAGAAGACCTTATGCGGCAACAGACTTGATCCAGAATGCGTTGGAAATTATTGAACTTATGATTTTAAAGTACAAGAATCATGTTATACTCACCCGATCACCTCTTTTGCAATAGTTATTACAAATTTTAATAGTACAAGTGGTGAGTTAGATTTTTAAAATGAAAACAAAGTCAATGTAGTAGTTTGACTTTGAACTTTGTCTACAAAATAGAGAAAAATACAATGGGGTGTTTGGTAAATAGCTGTTAGCTAATTGAGTTAGTGAATTTGATTAATTAATATCATTAGCTGATTGTAGAAACATTTTTGGTAAATTAGCTATTAGTTGATAGTTGATTACATGCAAAATGACTTTTTCAAAAAGTTTATCGAAAAAAAAACTACTTTTATCAATTTTTTTTTTAATTTTAGTATTTTGGAGCAACAAGTTGTTACAAAAAAAAAAAAAAAAAAAAAAAAAAAAAAAAAACTAATTATTCAAACACTCATATTGATTGTTTAACCAACTAACTATTTTACCAAACACGGCCAATATAATTCATGTATTTATATTACTTATTTATGGAGTTACACTTGATATAACCAAGGTTCTAATTATATCAGAAAAATTAGTTTATGAGTATGTATGGTCCAAATTTTACATTTTGACTCAAATTGTCATTTGAAGTCAATGTGAGATGCATCTTATCCTCTTTATGATGTCTTAAGATATTTTAGAAGTATCCTATAAGGTATAATTAGCTATAAATGTTTGTGTAACAAAATGGGAAAAATGCAATTGATTTAATTTAGAGTCCGTTTGGAAATCCTGAAAATGACTTATGGAAAATGTTTTCTGAGTTTTCAGTATTTGAATGCATTAGGAAAATTCAGTTTACGGAAAATATTTTTCGTTGACTGGAGAAAATGTAGGCATTTTAACAGAAAATGACTTCAGCCACCGGAAACCCTCTTTTTTTTTTTTTTATAAATAATATTATTTTTAATATTTTCATATTCTAAATAAAATATTTATAATGTTTAATTATACAATTCTACTCATTTTTTATAATGGACCAAACACACCAAGACAATTTTTCTGAATGCAACCAAACATTAAAAAGAAAAATATTTTCTGAAAAATTACTCATTTTTCAAAAAACATTTTCCATCACAAAGGATTATGGAATTTTAGAGACTAAAGTGTAATTATCAAAAGAATATGGGCTACAAGTAAAATAAGTCCTTTAAATGGATTATTTGGCATTTGGAATTGGATCCTCCCTTTTGTGAACACGCGGGAGGGGCAAAAGAGGGATGGTGGAAAAAAAGGGCATTGTACGTATTGAAAAGTGGGCGAGTGGAGAAAATGGCACACTCTTTGCTGTCTCTTGTCGTTTCAAGAGGGCCCACATTGACAATTAGATTTCCTTTTTTGACCTTTTTCAGGCTTTACTAGCGGTTTCCTTTCCCATTTGGTCTTTGAAAAAAATAATAAATAAAAAACACAAGTAATACTATTGAAAAAATTGCACTTTTGTCAATAAAATATTGAAAAATAACATTGTTTTATCTAAACTATATTTGTTATTACCTCCGACTCATTTTATTTATCTGATTCGATTAACGAGACTTGATTAAAATTATTTTTAATTTAATTTTTATGATATTAAGTTTAATATTAGAATATAAAATTTAAATATTTAAAAATTACATTAAAATTATTATTAAATTTAAATAATTAAATTTAAACATAATTAAAAATTATTAAAGAAAATAAGTAATGAAAAAAATAGTTAATTTAACCAATGAATGATAAATATGACATGCAAAATAGGACATAAGAAGTATTACTTTTTATTCAACGATGGTTTGCAAAGTCAAATTTTCTTTATCAATTATATTATGATCAAGTTAAAAATGTCACTTAATATGAAACACCACGTAACAAATAGTACAGTTTCGAGATTAACAATGTAATTTATCTATAATTTAAGGATAAAAATGTTATTTTTAATAATAATTATTCCTTTGAATTTAACTTTCTTTTTCTTACTTATTGTTTATAATTGGCTAAAATAGTTGAGCCATAATTTTTTTTTCTTTATTTTCAATAAACTTAAAATACATGATGAAAACAACATTTCCGATTAATACATTGAGAATTTTTCATATAGTATATTTAGTAAATCATCACTAACACAACTTTTTTTTTTTTTTTTTGCATTTTTCTTCTCAAATCATAACACGAGATGTCAGTTTATTTCAAAAAATTGTGAAAAATGAATGATAAAGTGGTGTAAAATTTAATGACATTAGATTATACATTTTTCTTTTACAAGGTAGAGATACTTTCTCAAACTACTGCAACCCAAAGAGTCAATATCTCATTACCGGAGTTTGACCCTATGACATTTTCTTAAGGGGAGCCACAGAGGTGTCATCTAAGCATAAGGTGTTTGGCATACATATCTTAACAATGTATTATTTATGGTACCATATAATAATTCATGGTATTATAATGATCACATTTGTGACCTCTTTTCTATTAATTAAAATAATAACTTGTGAAGTAATTATGAGAAGAAAATGCAAAAGGTTAAGTTAGCATGTGTGATCACTATTTAGTGAGACTTTTTCTTTTGATAATCACATACCCTCGCACTCAACCAAATAAGCCAAACATTTAGCATGTAGGTGAATTAAGACAAATTTTGTCATTTTGGTCAAGTTAACTGCATAAGATTTTTCTAGTGCGATTTATTTATCTTGTGTGACTTATATGCTATTACATAAGAATGATATTTATCTATTACATACTCTCTGATAGTGACTGCGAATTACTTTTGTTATCCGATCCCAAAGAAAAAAGAGTTAAACACCAAAATGTGTACATTCTGTTATTATTGTTGTTGTTATTATTATTATTATTATTAAATTACTTCTACATTTAATCTCCAAGTACTATTTTTACTATTAGACTAAGTTATTATTATGTTATTTATTATTATGTTATTACTTAGTCTTGTAACAATCTGTTAGTTGTCTAGTATTTAGCCTAGAGGATAGCTCTCTCTCTCTGAGAGTATTAATGTATCTGTAATTCTGTTATTCAATTAATTATCTTTTTCCTAACTCATTTGGTATCAGAGCGCCAGTAGAAGTCTACCGATTATTCTCTCTCCTCCCCTTTCCGATCGACAATGTCGTCTAGCTCCGAAAGAACGCACACAATCGCCACCTTCTCCTCCCCAAACACTCACCCAAACTCCCTCCATAGTGCGCATCACTTTGTGTCGTTAAAGTTGACACATCGGAACTATCTTTACTGGAGGACACAAATAATTCCGTTTCTACGCGGGCAAAGATTGCTGGGCTTCATCGACGGCTCCCACATCGGAACTCATCTTTACCACATTATATGCACGCATTTCTTTTTAAAATTTTATTTTAATGCATTTAGTCCTATTGACAAACTTTTTGTTGAAAATAGTAGAGTGTATCATATTTTTAATTCAAAAATCATACATTTTATTCTCAAAAGAGCAAGTTTTCAAGTTGAACTAAAAATGTGATACATTTTAACTAGTTTTTACTAAAGATTTGAAAAATAAATAAATAAATAAATGTGCCAAAAATTAAAGTCATGCACGAAATGTGACAAAATAATACTCGAAGAATAAAAAAAAATTAATATTTATATAATTATTTTTTTGTTTGACCATAAATTGATATACTAACACCTCACATACTAGGTAGATGAATGAGTGAACTCACCATTACTTATCATTCTCCTAGTTTGAATTTGTG